TTGGTTCTGATTGATTTTCAGGAGCAGATGGAGATGATTTGTTTTGTTTTTAAGATTTAATGAACTGCTTTTGTTGAATTTGCTAAATCTTTGCCATTATTGCTACCAAAACACTACCTTCCTTTCAATGCTGGACACAGAAGCAAAGCTTTAGGATGGTGAAACAAATGAATGTGGTCTCTCTAACTCCAAAGTTTATACTCTCCAAACTAGGAAATAGTACCTCACAGTGAGCTCTGCTCTGCCTTTCAAACAAGTAGGAGATATTTGGACAGTGTGTAGACTTATGAGGAAGCCTTTAAAATGACTATTTGAGTCACAGTAAAATGATTGTCTCTGAAGGACAATTTGATCGTAGGATCACTGTCCTAAGGAAAAAGAATTCCCTCCTGTGCAAACTCTCAACAAAATGGTAAATTAGAATCTGTCTCTGTCTCTTCCAGGATTTCGGTATTCAAATAATGGCCTCTGACAAACCTCAAAAACTTCTTTCTCTTCCTCTTCCCAATCTCCATTAAACAACTTTTTTTGTTCTATTCTTTCTTATCATGTTCTCTTCTTCATGACTATGTCTAGGAGTGAGGTCGTTTACATAAATTATGCTGGCATAAGATACTAGTTATCAAATAAAATATCTTATGTAGTTTATCAATTGCCATAACTCAGTTGAAATGCATGTTTCTCCTAAGAGTTCTTAAAAAATAGTGATAAAAAGAAGGGGGAAGATATATTTATTGAGCATCTTTTACATACCAGATGCTGTGTAATGCACTTTACAAATTTATTATTTTATTAAACCTCACAATAAAGCTGTGATCTGGGTATCATTATTGCCCCGTGATCTGGATATCTTTATTGCCCCTTTATTACAGGTAAACCTTAATCACATAAATGCTAGGAGTATTTGAATTCAGATCTTAACACAAGCAACTTGTACTTTTCAAAATCTCTAACTAAAATATTGCATGACCTGGGACCAGTCACTAATCTTTTTCTAAAACTTTCTATTTATGAAGAATTTTAGCCCCATATTTTCTAATTTCATAGAAGCTGGAAGCTTTGGTTAGATATTTATGCGGAGCAACTTTATGTTTAATTCAATAAACAATTCAAGAGTCTGTGAAGAAAAACATGATATCATAGAATGAGACCTTTGCTTGCCTCCTCTCACAACCACATCAAAATTACAACTAAACTACAGAACGGTCATTATTGGGAGTCACCTGAAGTCTAGCTGAACAGAAGTCCTACAACTGGAAACACATAGAAGAGGCCACCTTGAGACTGGCACGAGGGGCAGAGACAGTATGAGGGGCTGAGGGAAACTGGCTGGTCCCACACCTGCATGGAGATTAAGAATCGGGAAAATATCTTGGCTACGGAGATCTTCTCAGAAGACTGAGGGGTCCCTGACACACACAGGGCTCCTTTTTTTTTTTTTTTTTTGCAAGTTTTGAGGCTGTAGTAATTTTATTTTATAATATAACATACTATAAGTTTATAACGGCTGTGTTTAATAACTGACTTGGAAAATTGCTGATATTTTAGCTACTGGGTCTGGTGGCACTACTGGTTATAGATACAAGCTCACTACTCAGATTGCGCCAGGGGCTGGGGACAGGGCAGGGAGACCCCCCTTTTCTTCCTGGAGGTGGAAGTGATGGGGAGTTCCTGTGCTGGGAGTTCCAGTACTGGGAAGAGAAATCCCCACAATTTCTGGCCATGAAAACCAGTGGAGATTGTGACTGAGTGAGATGGAGGGATGAGAGAGTTGCAGACTTTCCTCTTACAGAGCCTACACATATGTACTTACTCAGTGACAGACTCACTCATGCTGAGCTCCAGGGCTGGGGTAGTAGCTTGAAAAGCATCAGGGACATATGGGACATACAGGAAAGAACTGAGTTGTCTGGCTTCAGGACAAGGTATGGAGGGGTGGTTTTCTCCCAGACAGAAGTGCAGGCTGAAGATATTGTTCTTTTGTTGAGCCCTCACACACTTGACTTGCAGACTCAGGCAGACGCTATATCTGAGTCTCTGTCAATGTAGCTAAAATTGGTCACCTCACCCTGGTGATTCCCTAATATCCTGCCCCTCCCAATGTACAGGCCTACCCAAGCTGCTTTCAATGGATTTTCCATACAAAACTTCTGTCTTAGTTTATGCTGTGGACTTTTGTAAAATTTCTCAAAGGTTCACAAAACCTGAACAAGTAGCACCTGGCCTCAGTGTGCCCCATACCTCTTGCTGAGCCACTCCAAGCCTGACTCTAGTGGCAGCTAGCCTTGATTTGCAGCTTGGCCTCTTGAGGCACTTCCAAGCCCAATGTGGTTGACAGCCATCTGTGGACTGTTTACTGGCTCATGCCAGGTGGTCCTGGACAGGGCACAGGCTGCAACTGAACTTAGCCTGAGGCGGGGTCCCTCCCAAGAGTCCCTGGCCTTCATGCTCCGTGGTCAACTTCAGTCTGAGCTGGAGCACCACCCAGGATCATATTTGAGGATGATACAGCCAAAGAGCAGACAGGGAAGGCACCTGAGCCCTGCTAAAGTGAATCCTGTTCTATAGGGTCAGCCTCTGAACAACAGTTTCTCCACTGGTCATGGCCAGTGTGCACAACCAATCAGCCAGAGGGTCAATCCCTCCCATTGATGAGCAAACAGCACACAAGACCCAACTATAACAAGAGGGAACACACAACCAATAAAAGGTACATACCTGGAGCACCCAGTTCAGGTGACCTTGGAAGAATGTGCCACTGGGACTCACAGCACACTTACTACATAAGGCTGCTCTACTAAGACCAGGAGATGTAGCAGCCTTACGTAATACAATGAAAGATACACAAGTGGATAGCCAAAATGGAGAGACAAAGAAACATGTCCCAGATGAAAGAACAGAACAAACTGTCAGAAAAAGAGCTGAACAAAATAGAGACAACCAATTTACCAGATGCAGAATTCAAACCACTGGTTATTAGGATGCTTAATGAACCTAGGGGAAGAGTAGATGAAATCAGTGAGAACTTTAACAAAGAGACAGAAAACATAAAAAGAAAGATAGAAAATATAAAAAATAACCAGTCAGAAATGAACACAATAACTGAAATGAAGAATACTTTAGGAGGAATTAACAGTAGATTAGATGAAGTAGAAAACAAGGTAGCAGAAAACAGCCAAACAAAACAGTAACAAGTAAAATAAATACAAAAAAAAAAAATGATGATAGTTTAAGGGGTTTCCAGGACAACACCAAGCATTCCAACATTTGCATTATAGGGGTACCAGAGGAGAAGAGAGAGCAAAGAATTGGAAACTTATTTGAGGAAACAATGATGGAAAACTTCCCTAACCTGGCAAAGGAAATAAACATCAAGCTGAGGAAGTGCAGAGTCCCAAATAAGATAAACCCAAGTAGACTCGCACAAAACACATCATAATTAAAATGTCAAAGGTTAAAAATAAAGAGAGAATCTTAAAAGCAGCAAGAGAAAGGCAGTTAATTAACTGCAAGAGAGATCCCATAAGACCATCAGCTAATTTCTCAACAGAAACATGGCAGGCAAGAAGGGATTGGTATCAAATGTTCAAGTGATGAAAAGTACAGACCTACAATCAAGATTACACAGCATAGCTATCATTTAGAAGGACAGATAAAGAGCTGCCTACAAGAGACTCACTTCAGATCAAAAGGATGTAAAAGGATGAAAAAGGATGTTTCCTGAAAATGGAAACAAACAAAAAAACCTGGGGTAGCAACACTAATACCAGAAAAAATAGACTTTTTAAAAAAGATTATAACAAGAGACAAAGAAGGACCCAGTTATCCCACTTCTGGGTAATTATCTAAAGAAACCCAAAACACCACTTTGAAGGGACATATAAATCTATATGTTCATTGTAGCATTATTTACAATAGCGAAGATATAGAGGGATCCTGGAAGAATCAATGGATGAATGGATAAAGAAGAGGTGATATATATTCAGTGTAAAATATTACTCAGCCATAAAAAAATAAAGTAAAATAAAATCTTGCCACTGAACCATCATGGATGGACGTAAAGGGTATTATGCTGAGTGGAGTAAGTCAGACAGAGAAAAACAAATGTCATATGTGGAATCTAGAGAACAGAATAAGCAAACAAACAACAGAAACAAGCTTATAAACACAGAGAGCATTTTGATGGTTGTCACATTGTGGAATGGAGGGATGGATGAAGGTGGGAGAGGATTAAGAGTTATGAATTGGTAGTTACGAAATAGTCATGAGATGCAGAGTATAGCATGGGGAGTTTAGTCAGTAGTATTGTATGGTATATGGTGTCAGATGGGTACTGGATTTATCAGATTGATCACTTCATAAGTTATATAAATGTCTAATCACCATATTGTACACCTGAAACTAATACAGTACTATATGCCAACTATAATTAAAATTAAAAACATAAAAATTTTAAAAAAAGAAATGAAATTATTTTATATTAGCTGAGTGACCCCAATGTAATCACAAGGGTCCTTACAGGCAGAAGAGGAAGGCAGAAAAGAAAGAACCAGAGAGATGGCAGAATGAAAATGACTCAGCTTGTCATTACTAGCTTCGAAGATGGAAGGGGGTTATGAGGCAAAAAATAAATAAATAAAAATAAAATAAAATAAAAATGTCTGCAACCCCTAGCAGCTGGATTCTTTCCTAGATTCTCCAGAAAGGAATACAGTCCTGCTGACACCTGGATTTTAGTACAGTGAAAGACATTAAACTTCTAACCTACAGAACTATAAGACAATAAAGTTGTGTCGTGTTAAGCTGTTAAAAAATTGCCCAATTAGGCACCACTCTGAATATTATCTTCAGAGAAGCAGGCAAACCCAGGCATAGCTGATGAGTTAACTAGATATGATACAGACAACATTTCCTTCTCCTTTTTGGTTTCATTCAATATTAAAACCCTAGAATTTTGCAGCTCAGTCTGCACCTGACTGGGGCCAGACTTTTAAGAGGCGATGTCTACTTCCATGGGAGGCCCCGCTCTGCTGTGGATAGCTTTACTGCTCTTCTGTAAGTAAAGGTTCAGTTACTCCTTTTGGAGGAGCCAAAATGGATCTGGGGAGCAGCTGGGTTGGGAATGTCGACAGTTTTAGTAGTGACTTGTTCTATGCTTTGCACAAATCATGAGACATTTCCCAGAGATTCTGTAGTGAAGACAAGCTGGAGAGCAGAAGAAACTGGGCTGAGCAACATCTAAGGAAGAAGCTGAATTGAAAGCCTGGTTTCTTGCAATTGCTCTGGCATCTCCCAGAGGGCAAGGAAAGGAGGATAGAGGAAAAGGAGAAGAGCCTTATCTGCCTGGATCACATACACACACGATGGAATATTACTCAGCCATAAGAAAAGATGAAATATTGCCATTTGTGATAAATTGGTTGAATTTTGAGGTGGTCATGCTAAGCAGAATAAGTCAGACAGAAAAAGTTGAGAACCATATGATTTCACTTATATGTGGGATATAAAACTGAAAGCAACAAATGAACAAAAACTCCTAGACACAAACAGTTTAGTGGATACTGGAGGGAAAGTGGGAAACGGGGTCAAATACATGGTGACAAAAGGAGATTTGACTTTGAGTGGTGAACACACAATGCAATATAAAGATCATGTATTATCAAATTGTATAGTTGAAACTTATATAATTTTATTAACCAATGTCACTTGATAAATTTAATAAAAACAAAACAAAAATAAAACAAAAAAACTCTCTTCAGGAGCTTCAGAAGGCTAAGTATATACACTAACTTATCATTTCTGGACTTTTGCAGCTCCAGATGGCATGTCAGCAGGTGAGTACTCTTTCTGTGTTCCCTCAGTGTTTCAATGTGTCTAGGCATTACTTTCTCCACAGTTTCCCTTTATTCCTTTGTTTTCTAATGATTTTGAATCTTCTTCTCCCGTTCTAACCACTTCCTATTTCCATCTTCCCTTGTTCTCCTTCTTTTTTTCCATTCAATATCTTCTTACATACCAATTTATTCTCTCAAGTCACCATCTTTTCTTTTTATGCCAACAACTATATCTGTTGAACATTTAAGTGTCTTTCAGTCTCTCTTCCAGGCACTATCACATAATCTCATTCAATTCTTACATCATTATCATTATTATTACTGCCATTTTATAACTGAGGATGCCGAAACTCAGATTCAGTGATTTTCTGAAGCTTACACAGCTAACAAAAAACTGGATTCTAACTAAGTCCCTTGGGTCCAAGTCTGGTCCTCTTTTGATGGCATCACCCTTTCCTCATTACCACCTGATCGCTTCCTTGAACTGACCACTTTAGTTCAAGTTTATTTCACATCTCTTTGTTCTTGGAAGACTTTTAAAATCAATCCTCTTGGTGGTTCTCATTACCCTCCAGAACTGACATATATTGTTGCTGCATATACAGTTATTTATCTGTTATTCTCTCATTTATCCATTCAATATACAAGCCATTGTGCTGAGCTATGGTTGAATATGACAGACATTGTCTCCACCTGAAAAGAGATTGCAGCTCTTATTTACAGATTCTGAAATTGAAATCAAGAGAATTAAAGTGAGTATAGTACATCACATAGTAAATTTGTTTGCTCGTCTGTTTTTTAATATCCTGTATTTGTGTCCTGTTTTTCTCCCTAGGTTGGGAGTTTTGGGGTGGGGGCTACAAAAGTTCCTTTCTTCTTTTAACCCTAGAAATCAGGATAGGGTCTCATTACCAGCAGTACAAGTGTAGACTGATCATTGGTTGACTATTGGTATGTCTGTACTTTGGAACCCAGACAATTTTCAATGATCTTGTTTTCCCTTTTATATCTCTTTTCATAATTTGATCTTTTAGAAGCCAATTGGAAATCTATGGTGTCCCTGAATCCCCCGTGGAATAGAATATTTAGAGGAGAGAATGTGACTCTTACATGTAACGGGAACAAGTCCCCTGAAGTCAACTCCACTAAGTGGACTCACAACAATACCATGTTAGTAGTGACAACTCCAAGTTTGGACATCATAAATGCCACATTCCAAGACAGTGGGGAATATAGATGTTGGAACAAAAATCTTATCCCAAGTCAACCTGTGTATCTAGAAGTCTTCAGTGGTAAGTTCCAAGGCTAAGAAAATGTAGATTCTCTCATGTGAGGAATGGCTCATCTGAAGATTGGGAAAAAGTAAGTTATTCCAAGAATTAGGGTGCCAGGGTGGGACTTTGAGTCTCTTACTCAAAACTCGTCGATCTCTCTTCTTCCTTCTCTACTCCTGTCTGCTTGCCTTTCTTCTGCTTTCTTTCAATATTTGAACACCTCCCAATGTTATTCTTCTATTCTATTTCACCTCTAACTATCTTTCCTATATAAGTGCAGATGTGTATTATATGGTCAATGGCACGTTGGATACATGAACATTACAAAGAGCTGCATTTGAAATAGGATCAAAAGGTTTGATTTAAAGATTTGCTCTGCAATTTCCATGTGCAACAACCTGAATGTTAGGTTGTTCTCTTCATTTTGAAAGATATCTGTGTACATTCCTCAAGTTCTCTACTTTTACTTAGAAACAAATCTTATGTTTGCTTCATCTTTATCACTTTCCTACTGCCAACAATTAGCACAGCATGCTTAGGCATATGTGGGTTAGTTAGTAAATGTTGAATGAACAAACTAATGATTTCATTTGAATAGCTAGGTTATTGTCATATTTTACTTTATATTTTAAAATAAAAAATATATTTATTTTATTTTTTAATTTTTTTAATTTTTCAATTACAGTTGACATTCATTATTATTTTATATTAGTTTTAAGTGTATATACTTTATGTTTTTCTCTTGAGTGAAAAACAATGTTTCAACATTCATATGCAAGTTCCCAATATAAACTAAAGAAGTGTAGAACATCTCCTTTATTTCTTTGGAATAGTTTCTGAAAAAATCCTCAAGCATTTCTCTTAAATAAAATGTTTGCACAAACTAGACATATTTTAATTTAAATTATTTGGTGAATGCTTTTCAATTATTAAAATGATATTAGTCATAGAAACTGACTTTTTTTTTGCTGACTCATTACTGAAAAATATCTGTCGAGTACTTACCAATGCCTAGGTATTGTGTTGGGCACTGGGTATATAATGTAAGGAACAGACTTGGCCCCTAGCCTCTTGAAATATAGAGTCAAATGAAAATGAGAATATTAAATAATTACACAAATAATATAAAATGTTCTGAGGAAGTTTTGGGGCCCACTAAGATTAATAGTAAAACTGAGAAGTCCCTATGAAGTAAGAGAGGATATAAAAGATACTCTCTTAGGCTTAGAAATCTTAGGTAGAATAGATTTATTTCCCCCTAGTAGCTGAAACTAACAACAATGGAGCTAAAGGGAATTCCAACGATAGGCTCAGCAGAAATGTCAGAGAAATTTTATGGCCCCAGACTTACTTTTCAGGAGAAGCAAGGATTTATCAAAAGAAGACAGGCTCTAAGCATTATTTTTGTTGACTTCATGAGCCAAGAAATGTATTAATGATAAACAATGTTTTCTGACACACACTCTATGTATGACCTCATTTATTTTATCTATCTATCTATCTATCTATCTATCTATCTATCTATCTATCTATCTATCTTCTATCTATCATCTATCTATCTACCATCTATAATCTATCTATTCATTCATTGTTAAATAAATAACACAATAAATGCTTTTCAGACTGGCTGCTCATTCAATCTTCTACTGATGTGGTATTGGAGGGTGAGTCCTTCCTCATCAGGTGCCATGGTTGGATGAATCGAAATGTCTACAAGGTGATTTACTACAAGAATGGCAAAGCACTCAAGTACTGGTATGAAAACCACAACATCTCCATTACCAATGCCACAATAAGAGACAGTGGCACCTATTACTGCAAGGGCATACTTTGGCAGATAAACTATACCTCTGATCCCCTTGAGATTACTGTAAAAAAAGGTGAGTTGGTAAAGGTAAGGGAATAACCTCATAGCAGGGAAAAGGAGAGATAACATCTCTGCTTGATATAGTTAGTTGCAGCTTGTAGAATGGGAGCAGCTATGATACATTGGAATGTGTACTAAACTTGCAATGGAGAGACCTAGGGTATAATATATCTCTTAATCTCTGTCTTAGAGTTTTTATTTGTTTAATGGCAGTAGCAATACATGATCACATTATGGCATTTTTACAAAGATTAAATGTGGTAATATTTGTGGAATGGTTTTATAAACTGTTAACCACTACCCAAGCATAAAAGGTTGCAATTAGTTTTGATCTCGAAGTCACCTGCTGATCTTGGGGAGAACACACATTTATTAAATTGAAAAGGAGTTTCAAAGTTTAAGGGAAAAAGCTTGTGAAAAGCTTGAAGAGTCCATTCTAGCCTAGGAGGGCTGGGAAAGGAAATCAACAGATAGTGTTCCTGTGTCTTGGGAGAAGAGAAAGAGGACTTGATGAGGAAAGGATAGGCAGGTGGGCTGCCTCTATATCCAATGAAAAAGACTGCTCTTTTCAAACTTTATATAAGAAAAGGAGCATTTGAAATATTTACCTTACAAGAAGGAAATTAGACTTTGAGTTGCAGACTTGGTTCATGCTAACATTTACAAAAGCATGAGACCAGAAGCCAGAATTAAGTTCTAATGGCAGTTCTCTGTTAACTAATTTGATACCTAAGTGCTATTTAATTGTCACTGGGCTTCCAGTATTTTTATCTGTAAAATAAAGGGTTTGGTTTAGACTTCATCAGAATCACTTGAAGAACCAAAAAACATCGATGTCCATATTTCATCATGAGAAATTCTGATTTAATTGATTTGGATAAGGTCTGGGATAAGTATTTTTGAAAACTCTTTCAGGTAATGGTAATGTGTAACCAGTGTTGAGAGCCACTGGTCTAGGCAATCTTTAAGTGATTTCTGGCTTTAATATTCTGTGGGTCTATAATTCTAGAATAATCACAAAAAGCAGTACTTTATAAAAAAGTAACAGAATCACAAAATAGTGAAAATGGAAGGAAACTTTAATGATCTAATCCAATATCTTCATCTCACCCAATAGGCATGCAAGAAATGATTGATTGATTGATTGATTGATTAATAAGACACTAGTGATCCTCAGCTCTCTGCCTCCTTTCCACCAGCAAATAATATGTGGAGACGGGTCTTGTCAGCTCCAAGAAAGGGGTCATCATTTTCATAATCTTCCCCCTTGGGCACATTGGCTAGAGGAATCGTTAGACAAGGGCTGTGGGGAAATATTCGGGACTTCCAAGGATTCCAGGGAGCACAGTCTGAGGAAACCAAACATAGGAGTGTTTTCTTTCTGCAAATGGATGCTTTATTGTGCTAGAAGATGGAAGACCATGAGGGGCCCTTCTCTTAGGGAAGATGAAGCCTCAAACCTTATTCTTAAATTCTTAATTTGACTTATGTTTCTTTTTGCATCTAGATCCCACCACAGCTCACCAAAGCAACTACTACTGGCTACAATTCCTTATCCCATTGTTGGTGGTGATTTTATTTGCTGTGGACACTAGGTTGTTTATCTCAACACAGCAGCAGTTCACATTTCTCTTGAAGACTAAGAGGACCAGAAAAGGCAACAAACTTATGGACCCACATCCCAAGACAGACCCCAAAAAGAACTAATGTCATTGCTCAAGAAACATTTGCAACAATTTCTTTCCAACATCAGCAATTGCTTCTCACTTATCAAACACAACTCACCGTGTACATGGAAAGATCTGTGCTCAAGGCTTTACAGAACTTCTTCATTAAACCAACTGAAACTGGTTAAGTGGCATGTAATAGTAAGTGCTCAATAAACATCAGTTAAATAGGTAAAAGAACGTATAGATTCATTTATTAGTATCTGTGAAAGAAGTACAATTCAAATAGAATTATAAAACCATAAAACATGATGCTTCTAAGTATTTGAGAATTGCTAGTTTTTTCATTTGTTTTGTTTTGTGTTGTTTTTGCTTCTAGAGGCAAAAAAACTACAAAGTTCCAGGTTAGAAATATTCTAATTGTACATATGAGCTAGGAATGAGAAGACATGTAGAATGCTGGTGAGGTTGATCATTTCTATGCTCTCTCTTCAACTTTATTATCCATGAGCTTCTTGTTCTTGGGGAGAATCTGTGGCAGCCTTGAGCCATAAGATCTAGGTATGAAGCTCAGTCTAAGATTCCTTTATGATTGTTTCATTCCTTTAAAACCTCCCAAACTTGTATCTTGAATATCCTATTATAGCATATTGGAGAAATTCTAGTGAATAATAATAATCAGAACTCTCAGCTTTGAAAACAATCCAGAACTGAATAAATCTCAGACAAAAGATCTAGACATTTTTGGATTTGGTTTTCCCAACAGCATTCATTGGAGGCCTAGGCTTCTCTCATGGAGTGAATGGGACTAAGTCTTATAAAGCCATCCATGAAAGAAACTAAAATATACATGGGAAGAAATTGATCCAAATCCTCATTCTTCTATGTTTTAGGTTTGCAATGTGAGAAAATGGACTTACGCTTCCATGTATTTCAGTATTTCATTTTAAAATAAGAATGATAATAGTCATCCTGTCAACCTATTGTTCTTCTAAAATTAAGTGAGAGCCTGTATCTGGAAGTTCTCTATAAATTGCAAAGGTTTAAAGGTCCTTGTAGCATGCATGAAACCCAATCCTTGCTCTCCCACCCCATCCCACCTCCACCTATGAATAATTTTACTAGATGCTTGAGGGAGCATTACGGAAGAGAGACAATATATTGTCATTTCTAACCATGATTGCACAACAGTCAATGGGAGATCAGAGTGCCTATATTTTAGCTACATTTTAGGACAATAAATAACACAAGGAAGAAGTGACTCTAGAGTGAAATTTTGTAAATATCCATGATACTGACAAGTCTCATTTTCTCCTAAAAAATGTTTTTATGCCATAAACCATAAATAAATTACTGGAGATTTTTTTTTTAACACAGGTATCTGGTATGAACCTTCTGAACACTCTCCACTTTTTAAAAAATTTCAGAGACATTAAGAAATGACCAGATTCTCCATGAACAGCCTTGTCACCTGGCTTCATGTAAATAAGCCTAATAAATGGTGAAGAGATTTTTCCTGCAAAAATAGGCCAGGAAGAGTCCCCACAGGAGTCTCCTTAGTCATTTCCCCTGCCCTTAAGGAAAGATCTATTACAGGGACCTTGAGACCAAGTTAACAATATCTTCCTTCACAGTGTTCTGTACGTCAGGCTAGAGAGCAAGTTACGTACTTGTTTATTTAGCCTGAGGCCAAATAACTCAGAGTTAAGATTGAAAAGACATTTAACATGGATAGAAAGTCCAGACTTGAACAGCTTGAGATATATTTTCTAAGGGATTTTCTGTTTCTTTTTAATATTAAAATTCGCTTTCATCTCCCTTTTTATTTTTACTCCAAGCTTACGAGGGCCATGAGTAGAGCACAAACCTAGAATTATTATTATTATTTTTAATTTAAAAAAGCTGCTCTTAACTAGCTGTGTCATTGAGGAATTACTTGCCAGGCTCTGAGATTCCATTTCTTCTGTGTAAAAAGAGGAGATTAGACTAGATGTCTCAAAGCTCCATCTGAGCCCAGACATTTTGTCATTCATTACTTGAAAACCCGATTCCGATGTGGTGAATATCCAGGTACGAAAGCGTTCCCCAAGAAGCTTCAGGGTGAAATTTTCTGCTTTATTGAAATATAATAATTAATTACTTACATTTACATTGTACAATTCAATGTGTTCTTCTTCAATTAAGTTAGCATACAATAATATATTAGTTTTAGTTGTACAGCATAGTGATTAGAGATCTACATAACTCACAAAGTCATCACCCCACTGAGTCTAGTACTCCTTTTCCCCCCTACATATTTATTATTACATTATTAACTATTTTCCTTATGCTACATTTTATATCTCCATGTCTATTTTGTAACTATCCATTTGTATGACTTAATCCCTTTGCCCTTTATCGCCGTCCCCGCAATCCTCCTCCCATCTAGTAGCTCTCAAAATATTCTCTATATCTATGAGTTTATTTCCATTGTTGCTTTTGATTATTTTGTTCTTTAGATTCTACATGTACATGAAATCATTCAATATTTGTCTTTATCTGACTTATTTCATTCAAATCAATACTCTCTAGCTCCATTAAAGCAATATCTTTTTCCATCCACTTACCTTTAGGCTGTGTGTGTCTTTTAATCTGAAATAAATCTCTTGTAGGCAATATATGTAGGGGTCTTGTTTTTTTAATCTATTCAGCCACTCTATCTTTTGGATGGAGCACTTAATTCTTTTCCATTTGAGATACTTGTTGATAGGAATATAGTTATTACCATTCTTTATGTATGTTTTTGATACATGTTTTTTCTTCTTAAAGAAGTCCCTCCAACATTTCCAATAATACTGGCTTGGTGTTGATAAATTTCTTTAGCTTATTTTTGTCTGGGAAGCTCTACATCTGTCCTTCAACTCTAAATGACAGCTTTGCTAGATAAAGTATTCTTGGTTGTAGATCCTGGGTTTTCATCACGTCGAATATTTTGTGCCAAGCCTTTCTGTCCTGCATAGTTTCTTTTGAGAAATCAGATGCCACTCTTATGGGTGCTCCCTTTTAAGTAACTAACAGCTTTTCTCTTGCTGCTTTTAAGATTCTCTTTTTGAATTAACCTTTGACATTTTAATTATGATATATCTTGGTGTGAGCCTCTTTGGATCCCTCTTTCTTGGGACTCTGAGCTTCTTGGGGTTGTATGTCTATTTTCTTCACCAGGTTAGGGAAGTTTTTCATCATTATTTCTTCAAATAGCTCTTTGTTTTCCTTCAGATACCTCTATGACATAGATATTTACAGTAAATAGTGTCCCAGAGGCTCCTTAAATTATTATTATAGTCTTAGCTTCTTTTTTCTTGTCATTCTAATTGTCCTTGGCATCCCTATCTTCTCTACTGGTGGTTCGATCCTCTTCTTTATCCACTCTGTTTATTCTCTCTAATATCCTCTCCATCTTAGATAATGTGTTCTTCATTTCTAATTGGTTCCCTTTTATACTTTTCATTTCCATGTTTATGTTTTTTTATCTCTTTATTAAAGTTCTCACTGAATTCATCTACTCTTCCCCTAAGTTCATTAAGCATCTTTCTAACCAGTGTTTTGAACTCTACATCTGTTAGATTGCTTGGGGTTTCTGCTTCTTTGTCTTCCCATTTTGGCTACCTTCCTGTGTCTGTTTCCTTACGTACTGGGCAAAGCTCCTAAGTCTCCCAGTATTATTAGTGTGGCTTTGTGTAGTAGGTGTCCAGTGGCACAATCCTGAGGAGTTCAGCTGCAGGCCAAGTTTAGCCCCTGCCTGTGCCCCTCCGGGGCCACCTGTTAAGATTCAACAAGCAATCCACAGATGCTGTGCTTATAGTGGCCTCAAGAATCCACACCAGAAACTGAGGCCAGCTGCCACCTGTGTGAATCTTGGCACTGCTCAGCAAGGTGCACTGGACTCACTGAGAACACAGCTGGTTGTGGCTTGAGTGGGTCTGCGAGTTGGGGGAAGAAGAGTTTCAGGAAATCCTCTGCATGGAGTGACCTCTGTTATCCAATTTGACGTTTCAGTTATGGTGGCACTGCCTCCAAACACTGGGTGCGGGAAGGGCTCAACAGAGGAACAATGGATACTGCCAGCACTTCTGCCCAGGAGAGAGCCTCACCTCTGGTTCTCATTCCAACCACTCAATATTCCCCCGTAAGACCCTGGAGCCCATCATGAAGCTGACCCAGTGCTGATGTTCAGAGTGAGCAGGTCCGTCACCGCAAAAGTCCGCTTGTGGACATGGCCCTTTTAAGTGGTGTCTGGAGCTGCCGGCTGTGGCTGCCGTAGCCTCTGTCCCACTTAGTTGTTTGAGACTGAGCAGCTTCATGTCTTTGCCTTCTCCTATCTTCTACTGTTGCAGGGTGAGTAATTATTTCTCTCCCCAGTTTAGTACTTCTGTTCATCTAGATCCCAGGCTACTTTACTTGCTGTTTGCTCTGTGTTTCTATCACAATTTCGATTTAGTCAAAAGAGGGATGAACAAAGCCTCTATCATCTATGCCATTTTCCCCCTCCTCACCAGTGTGAATTTTTCCCCTTTATCCTTCACACATTGGTCCTTCCCTTCACTGTGCTAGTCTGTGTATCTGAATTTCAGATTTGTCTAAGACTTGTGCCTGTCATTTATTTCTACCTATTTTCTTCTTGATATTCATATATCCCTGCTGAGTAGGGAATGTGGAACACAGAGTTAGGGCTTGGATATTTCCTGGACCCCCAAAATATGGCATTTATAAATAAAAATATTATTTATAAAAAATGCACATTTTTATTTTAATATACATGAATATTTTCTGTCCATGCCAGAGAGTGAGTATGTATGTTATACAGATGGTTAGAATAGAAATAATTCACCCCAGCTTCACCCTTGGGGCCTCCTCTGTTACCTCCAAACTCTTACCAAATTGGTCTAGGCTAGTTCATAGAGCAAATTCTCTCTTCCACACTTGCTGTTCCAAATTGGCTGCCACAAATCATCATGAACTCCTAATAGTTAGGGATTTTTTTTTCAAAAATCAAGTCAGTATCTCCCTACTGATGGCTGACAGAAGACAAATTTCCATGCCACTTCAAGAGTAGAAACTCAGACAAAAAATAAAAAAATTCCAACCTGCCAGTAAGTTGGGGAATTGAATGCTTGAAGAAAGACCCTGTTCTTTCTCTCTTCTCATGACATGGAAAATGGGACAATAGGATCATCTCTTGAACTCCAAAATGGAAGCTTTATATTAAGAATGGCAGAGGCACCTGCCAACCAAGGTCCCTGGATAACCTCAGAGAGTAGTACTGTCTTCCTGCATTAAGTTGTCTGCCCAGCTCTGGACAGTTACTTACTAAGCCCATGTCCCATCTGGTGTTTCATTAATCTCCACAACATTCCCACCACCACTGATCTCACTGTAAGGTAAGGGTACCGGACTACAATAAAATCGAAATTGCTCATAGACAAATTTTTAAAGACAAAGGGATTATTTCTTGTGGATTCTGAGAAAAATTAATATTTCAATTTTTTAATCAGTTCCAAGAAAATAATACCAAACTATGGTTGACTGAATTGAGCCACAGTAAATATAGTTTAATTGATAGAATGGAATTATTATTTTTTTAATTGAAATATAGGAGCCACTGGCATTCTGCCTTCATTAGACTATATCAAGCCTGGAAATTTGGGTTCTCCAGTTGCCAATTGTTGTTCTAGAAATGAGATCCTAAAATGTTGTGAATTGAGATCTCCAGGAAACAGATTCTGAAATAGAGATTTAAATGCAACAAGTTTATTAAGTAGTGCTCTCAGGATCGACACCTGTGTGAGAATAAAGGAAGCAGACAGAGCAGAAGGAAGAGTTGAAATGTGATGCAGCCTCAACAAAAACCTCAAACTATCTCACAGATGAAAGCGCTGGAGCTGGGAGAGCCCTTCCTAAACATCTTAAATTGAGGTAAGAAGGCCAGTGTTTATAACCTGAAATAAGCAAGTCATTGGAAGCAGTTTGCCCCTGGGCAGAGGGTGTGACTTTGGAGGAGGCAACTCTTTATCAAGGGCAATTCCTGAAAAGGGTCTCAACTGAGAGCTGTCAGCTCAAGACACTCCTGGCAGTCAAGGGAATGAACATGGGTCCCAAAGGGGTACAATCTGAGTTGTGTACCACATCCTCCACTAAATCCAACTTCAAATAGAAGAAAATGTGCCACTGGCCATCAGACCTTTACCTATTAGCTTTATCTAGATTAAGCAGAACTACTAAGAAAAACAGTTTTTATAACTGTTTTCTGACTATCTCCACAGAAATGAACATGCTCTATCATTTCTAGAAATCTGGACACAAAGGCAAAGATATCTTTTATCTCTGGTTAGACTTCACATGCTAGTGTTTTTTGCAAAGTGAGACATGAAAACTTGACATGGAGGATTTGTTAACTTCCACTGACTTGTCCCAACCACAGCATACAGCAGACTTCATGACACTCTCCCAAAGTGACATCATGCTTCTACATGGTCACCACTTGGGATCAGCTGGACTGTGGGGACTTCAAGAGCTGTGTTTCAAAGTCAGGTTATGCATGTTCTTTCAGAATAGAAAGCCAGAATGGAAAAGAAGGATGAGGGATTGAGGATCCTTTCTTGCATACACTTTCACATTCTGCGATGCTCACACATAAAATGCTGCTTTCAGCTCAGGTTTTAAATTGGGAGTATCTAAGAAAATATTTCTAAGTAGTAACCTCTGTAGGCTTAGGAGCTTACTGGAAGTTTTTGTTTGCTTGTTTGTTTTTGTTTTTTGTTTTTTTTTTCAGTCAAGACTCAGATTTTTTATTATTAAATATATTCAGAAATTAAAGTGCTTACATGCATAACACTATTTCAAAGAGTTTAGCTCTATCCTGCAAAAAGAGCTATACTTTTGCTTGGCTCTTTCCAACCTCTGTTCTCTTTCACTTCCCTGTTGGAAGCATTGGAGCTTTCAGCATGTTCTCCTTTACAATTGGCGTTTTCTCACCTACACTTCTCAACTAGAGATGGATGGGTTCTTTGGGTTTTCAGTAGCTAATGGTTTTTGCTTTCCCACATTTGAACTCTTCATTTCCAGGAATGGTCAGTTAGGGCATTTCTGTTCACTGGGAAAATGTGCACCCCATCTTTTGATGCTTCTTCAGACTGTTATGGGATAGTAGCAGGTAGCCTTCAATGTCCACAGAAAAGGAAATGTATGCATCTCTTCACTTGTTAAAATGTTTGCACAAATTACTCCTACAACCTAATGTCACACATAAAAAGTCTTTCTAAGGTGTTTTCAAAATCTTTTGTTCATTAGCTCTTAAGAATCCTGTTTGGTTCTGTATCTCAATGGAGTTGTAAAACTCAACATATTCTTGGGATGTGTGTGAGAGAACGTGCATTACATTCTTAACTGTATGCAAAGTCATTTTCTATCTTTTCTGAAAGAGGTTACAGAAAACCAGAACTAGCTCAAATGGAAACCTCCAGTTTGGGCACCCAATTCAATTTAGTCTATTCTTCTTGATCCCCTATCTAAAGGCATTACTGAAACAGCGTTAAAAGTAATACATATTTATGAAATCAAAATTACAAACTCTCTTCATTAGGAGAAGAGGAGCTTTCGTCCCATGGCTCTGCACAAAGCATCTTTGACCTCCTTATTCCTCAAGCTGTATATGACAGGGTTCAACAGGGGAGTGATGACAGTGTAGGTCACTGAGATGAGTCTGTCCTGCCCTAGGGAACTCTGGGACTTAGGTTTGAGGTAGATGATGGAGGCACAGCCATAGTGGATGACAACCACTGTGAGGTGGGAGGCACAGGTGGCAAAGGTCTTTTTCCGACCCTCAGCTGAAGCAATTTTAAGAATGGTGGAGATGATGAGGACATAAGAGATGAAGACCAGGCCCATGGGTAGAACAAGGACACAGACACTGACAACAAAGTTAATGATTTCATTGACCATGGTGTCTGTGCAGGCCAGCTTCAGCAGGGGTCTCACATCACAGAAAAAGTGAGAGATGACAAAGGCATTACAGAAGGGCAGACCAAACACAGACGTTAGTTGAACTGTGGCTATGCCCAGGCCAATTACCAATGACCCAGATACCAATTGTATACAGGCTTCTTTACTCATGATGACTGAGTACCGTAGGGGGTTGCAGATGGCCATGTAGCGATCATATCCCATGATCATGAGAAGGAAACAGTTATTGATACCAAAGGTGAGATAGAAGAAGAGCTGAGTGGCACAGCCTTGAATAGAAATGGGCTGATGCAGACTCAGGAGATCAGAAAGCATGCGGGGAATAATGGCCACAGTGTAGCAGTTCTCAGAGATGGACAGCATACTCAGGAAAAAGTACATGGGAGTATGGAGGTGATGGTCCAGGCAAATAATAGTAACAATGATGATATTGCCAGTGAAAGTCAGCAGGTACAAAGTTAGAAAGACGACAAAGAAAGTAAGCCTGTATTGCCACCCAAAGCTGGAGAAACCTTCAAAGAGGAACTCAGTCATAGCAGTGGAGTTCGATTTTGACATTGAGGAAGGTCTGGGCCTGAAAGAGCTGGGCAAAGGAAAGAAAGGCATAATGAGTCAACCATAAAAGAGAGTAGGCTGGACCAAGGTTTTCAGTAAAAGGCTGCCCATCCTCTAAGCAATGCCCCAGACCTCAAGATCCATCACTGTTCAGCTGTTGGCTAATTGTTCAGAGTCATCACCTTTGCTCACCCTATTTTTTGGTACTATAGAAATGTTACCTTAGGGTTCTAGCATTGAGGTCAGAGTTAGATCTCAGAGGAAACGTAGAGGCAAATTAAAAGACAGATTTTATAGAAATACCCATCTATTAAAGAAGTGAGTCTAGATCAAAAGAGAAACCCAGAGTTATAGTCCTCCTAAAACACATTTGAATTAGCCTCCTAAAGATCCAATGAGGAACAGTGACCTAGGTGACAGAAAAAAGGTATCTGAGGCTGATATTCTTTCAACACTGTCAAAATGCACTACTAACACAAAATGCCCCATAAGGTTTCTAAAATGACTTTTCCTTCCCAGAACCCTAAATCTTAAACTTTACTTTTCTGTGCCCTGCACTTAAAATCCACCTTGATCACGAAAAGATTAGAAAGGAATCACTTCTACTAGATATTCCTCCTGGAAACCATACACTAAATGTCCTTTAAAATTGTGAAAAATGGTTTGATAAGGCATTGCAGGGGTTTAGCATATCCCTTTGATTCTAGCCGAAGGGAGAAAAGAGGATGTAACAAATTTGAGAATATTCCTTCAAGTAGGGAATAGTTTTTCCTAGTGTGAGAGCAAAGATTAAATTTATTTAATCAGAGGAATGCCAGATGTTCTGTTTTTTACTTCAGTTTTTCATATTCCAAATTGTTTAGGGGATAGAAATGACCCCATCCCATATGAGCTCAGAACTGGAGACTGTACTGAAGCAGATTTAAACTCATCACTTAAATCCATATTAATTTCTGATAAAACCCACCATGTTTAACCATTACCTCCATTCAGAAAGCTGAGAATCATCTCAATTCTCTCCCTTTCCTTTTCTACCCTGAAGACAGTACTTCCTGAAATTATCTCCCCTCTGTTCTGACCATTTCATGCTTTCTACCAACACCCAACTTCTGACCACCATCGTTATCTTCTATGGTGACTGCAGTGGTCTCCTAACTAATCTTCCTCATTTCAGTTGACCTTAGTCCAAGTCCAAGTCTCCTTCCTGAATGTTATCATAACATTCTTTGTAAAAAATCTACTAATGGAGCCTCCTGCATAAATTCCTTCAATAGCCTCTCAAAAATTTAAGCATATTACTTAAATTCATTTGTAAATCCAGTATAGTAGTACTCCAGAGGTGCCATGAGTAAGTATTAAATGAGTTAATGCATTTGAAGAGTTTGACATAACACTTGACACATAGGAAGCCCTTATTAATAGAAGTTGTATTAGTAGTTATTCCTTTTTATTTTCCACAAATGAACAAGTTTAAATATCTAAATGGAGCAAGATAGTGGTAGGTGGGCTTCAGACTAGCATTTTAGGATTTGTAAACAAGCTTGTGATTGTTTCAGCCTTGATTTTGTACATTTTATTATTTCCTTTCCAATTGGTTATATGGACTTTTTTATGCTTTTTTAAAACCTTTCTTGAGGTACATTAACTGCTACATGTATTATTACAACTCAGGTGTGGATTAGGTGAAATAATGTTTTGCTTCTAATTTCATTCTTGAAGATAGCTAACATTTTACTTCTCCTTAAATTAGAGTAACCTATCTAGCTAATATATCTAAGGAAAATCTAAATTGCTTTCCTGGATTATAACTGATAGTTTGAAACTCATCACTATAAAATCACAGTTTTCATCATATTTGCACACTTCAGTTAAAATTCATCCAAGTTATTTTTATAACTTAATTCTACTTTTTTGTTCAGAAGATCTTACCTGTGCCTGTAGCCTAGAATAATTCTGCTTCCTTTCGCCTCCAAACCATTAGTGAGCTCTAAATTGCTAACACCTTAAAAAATTATTCCAGCACCATTATGTGGGAGACTCTAACAGATAGAACAATCAGTAAAAAGGTGTAGAATAGGAGGGGGAAATGAAAAACATTGGCAAATCTAGGGTATAAGAAATGTAGATGAGGAAGAAAAGATGAGAGACAAAATAAGGAGAGTACAGGTGAACAGAAACCTCAAAATTTAATGCCTTTGACTTTGGAGTTTTTACTACCCTTTTCATCTTTCAACTACATGACTCAAAAAAAAAGAAAGTTAAATAAAAGCTATTCCTGTCTCAATCATAGATGAAGGCACTATTTACAACCCCTCCCACCCCCCAGGCAAGATAACTTATGTCATTTTGTTTTCTCATTTTTTGGTTAGTCTCCTGTGAATAATTAAAATATGCTTCAAATCTAAGCAAAACCATATCTTTAGCAATTCAATGTATTGAGTAGTCACAACATATAAGTACTGTGCTAGTATTATGAAAACAAAGATGAACAAGACATGGTCCTTCTCACAGAACTTAGACATTTGAATAGCTTTTATATTAAAGGCCCTTGAAGTCTTATATCTCTCTTAACACTTCTTTACACATCCATATTTCCCAAATCATAGAAATCACAATATGAATTCTCTAGGAGAGGTCATTGCTCCCTTCTATAGATTAATGGCTGTGTGATAACTGAATATATGTTATAACAAACATTCCCCATCCTCACGTATGAGGTAGTGAAACTCACCGTGTAGCCTGTTTCATGCTTGAGAGTCACATCTCCCACTCTGGAAATTTAACTGCCCACAATAGTTGGTATGGATTTTTACTAATAGTTGTAAAATTTTTCCAAGATCTTTGTTAATGCCTTTCTTGAAATTATTTAAAACCCATTAGTCATTTGAGTTTAGACAGCTTTGTAAAAATATTGCTATTTTATCAAATAGTCTACAAATTTTCTTATCTGAGGGTCACTAAAGTCTTATGAGCAGAGCTGTAGTTTAATCAAAATCCCCCCATTGACTGGCAAATCTCTAGATATCACCCAGAATGTGATTTCTAAAGGAACTAGAGGGAAAGGAAATAATATCTATCTCAGTCTTCCAGTGCCAAGACTAGAAGTGAAGGACAGAAAAAGTCACTTTAATCTCCTCTAGATTCTCACAGCCCCTCTTGCTGGAAGAGGGTCCTCTTTGGGTCACAAAGCATTAACTTTGTCTTGAGGTTTTTTAACAAGGTGCAAATTGTCTGCCCCAGACTCTTGAGTCTCTTTCCCCCAAAGAAAACTGACTCCCAAGTGATCAATAGCATAAGACACAACCCAAACAGCAGAGTGCCTGGAGACCTCATTACTCAGGCAACTCATTTCCTAATCCTGAGATTAACATTTTGGAGAGTAGAGTTGCCTTGGCTATTAGGAGTAATCTCTGGGGTGAAAAGGCTAATTTCAAACTTTGTTATTGGTGGGCTATGGCTTTGCTAAGATACTTGACATACTTTCTGTCCATTTCTCTGGCACCAAAGGAGAAGGGTAAAGACCTCTGGAAGAACTCTTCATAAATGGAAGAAGAGAAGCAACAATGCCCAAGAAGGGTTTAGGCATGGACCTTTGCTGCCAGGTACACAGAGAACTGATCTTTAAGATACTCTGACACTTAAAGCCAGTTTAAAGTCTCAGAGTAGAATCATCAATCCAGTCCCTGAATTCGTAAGAACTTTTTTACTTTTAACTGATCTCTCTCATCTCTGTTCTGCTCATCACACACTCTACATAATTTTAGATCCCCCAGCTCAGTTCTATCCAAGGCCTCAGCCTTTACAGATCATCTTTCATGTAAACCTGTCCCTTGATTTATGTGGTATTTTTATGTGAGTTTTTTTAATATGCAGTAAATATTCCCTCTTTTAGGTGGACTTTTTTATACATGGTTTCCATTTCACAAAGTTCTTTCTTTTTCATTTCCATTATTGGTGATTATTCTTTCTAAAAAAAAAAAAAATAGCTTAACTCAGTAGCGTACAAAGAACTATTACTTACTAACACACAATTATTCATGATCTTCCCGTTTATTGGATGGCAAATGAAAAAGCATGGGTGACTACTGATGTTTTCCAGAATTGGTTTTACAAATGTTTTGTTGTAGAAGCTAAAACTTATATGAAGGAAGATGTCTTCCTTTTAAAACACTTTTAATTTTAAATAATGTACCTAGTCATTCACACAATTTAGAACATCCAAATATAAAAGTTGTATATTTGCCACCAATACAACTTTCTTGATCCAACCTTTAGATCAAGGCATTATTTCCACCTTTAAGGTTAATTATATTAAATGGAGTTTTAATATTTTTAATAAACTTGAAGATAATCAATCACTTACAGTTACAGAAGCATGGAACACAATTTTAAGTTGTATTAAGAATATTAGTTTAGCTTTGAGTGATATAAAGCTCTCAATTTTAAATGCCTGCTGGAAAGCAATATGGGTAGAAGTGGTTGTACCAGGGAATATGGTCCCAACAACTGAAGAGGGATTAACTGGCATAAGTAACTTATTAAATAAAGTTGAAAGGTAGAATTAGTTCTCCTCCATCTCTAAAATGATATTATAATGACTATAATATGTAGATATAGCTTCTAAGTCAGTGAATAGTTGAGGGGCCAGGATTCCAGAAAAGGAAAGATATATAGAAATGTTAGCCTGAAACCCACTTTTTTGCAGTTTCCTAGAGAAACTGTAATTTGTCGTCTGTAATCTAAAAATCAGGAAGAAAAAAATCACTCAATAGAAACAGACCTATACACAAATTGCTGTATGAAAGTTTTCAAATACAACTTTAAGATAAATAGATTGTGGCAGATGCACCCAAAGTGATCCTCAGTGAGTCACAAGGATGTAGAACCCTTTCCTCTTGAGTGTGGACAGAACTGTGACTTGCCTCTGCACAACAGAATACAACAAAAATAATGACCCCTGCTTACATTGCATTGTACAAAAAGAATGCACTATATATAAAAGAGC